CCCCGGCCGCAGCGGCCCCCGGCCCCCGCCGCCTAGCCTGGCCTCCCGCGGCTGGGAAAGGACGGCCCGAAGCCGGGGGACGCGGGGTTGAGCCGTGACCCGGGTTCCTGTTAGCCGGGTTGTCATTCTCCTGGCTCCAGGGCCGCCTTCCCCACCCCTTTCTCAGGTCTTCTCCCTCCCTGGCCGCCCGCGCTCCCAGATGGCATTTGGCAGAGTTAGCGCGGGTTGGAAGGCGACTGTGGTCGGCGGTCGTCTCGCGTGTGAAGCCGAGTGTTGTGTTCTGGGAATTGGGGTTGGTTAGGTGGTCGCAATCCCTGGAGAGCCCTGGCTTTCCTCTGCACTGCGCGCTTTTCTTAGCTCAGCGCCTTGGTCTTGAGGCCGAGACCACGACCTTACATAGGGCAGTTATTTTTGCTCTGTTCTTTGGCCTTAGACAATCCCCGCCCTCATACACAAATGCACACGCCCACATTCCTCACTGAGTTGGTGACATTTTTTGTACAGCATCATTCCTGTGTAAAGAAGTGTTTGTCATGTAAAGAAGAGGGTTGACTTTATAATTACTACCATTTAGCTAGTTGTTTGCAAAAGGCAATTTGTTTAATTAAGAGGCCAAAGTCAAAATCTTTCTAATAAAAAATATATTGAGTTTAATTAAACCTACCGCAATATTTTGCACTTAAGAACACTAAATTGCTTCTGTTTCATCTGAGAATATGTTGAGAAATATATTAATAATCTACAGTCCAAACTAATTTCACTTAATCTTAGTGTTAAATGTTCATCTAGCCTATAGATAAATGTGAAGAAAAAAAGTGGTATGTTAGAGAAATGGTGAAATAAACCAAAATATCTTTTTCTTTTGTCCCTACTTAAGAGATCAATAAACTGGTAGTTTGGGACCACATTTTGTTTGGGGACAAGGGGTGATAGTTTTGGGCATTTAATGATTACTTTTTCCTTGAAAGTATAGACATAAATCTTGATGAAAGAATGTTCCTCCATGTGCCTTTTTATAATTTATTGAAGTTAATCGCTTGTCAGTCTGCCTTGGTAATAACTGT